CAGGTAGTTTCAGCCATTCCTAAAGATTTTATTCTAGCCTTCAGTAAAGGCTGCAAATAAGGATTATTTCCATTATTGTGTAATTTACCAATTATTTAGGTGATTAATCAGTTTATCGTTACGTCAGTCAGAAAATAGTAAAAAATATGTCCTTCCAAAAAAGTTGACATAAAGAAACCTTAAAGTATTCATATTGGTGAAGCTGGAATCAGTGAGTTTTGAGCATTTGAGCATAAATGGCTTAAATGATCCACTTAGCTCTTCTTTTAGCAACTCAGCAACACTTAATGTGCAGCCTCCTACTGAATCGACGTATAAGAAGTGCTTCGCCAATGTTTTTACCGGGAGGGATCACAGTCAGCTGTGTTTGACAGGTGCCACAATCAGCTGGCTATGAACATGGAGCCAGTTTTGGTCTCCTCCCCGCCAAACATTACAAAGTCAGATCAGAAAAAATGAAAACCATTAAAAAATTGGAGTTAAAAAGTTCTCAGAAATGAAAGTCTCCGTCCTTCAGTGATAAGGCTGAGCAGCTCGAGACTCACCAGTACACGGAAGCATATTAATACTAAATGCATTTAACTCTGTGTACTTTGTACTTCCTCAAAAGTTCCCTCTGTTACTTACATGCCTGGGCAAACTGACAAGGAACGGATGGGCTTGCCTCAGTAAACATGGTGAAATGTAGTGTGAACTAAGATTGTCCTCAACTTCTCTCTGCACTGAACACAGCCACTGGTGTCCTTTTTGGTAAGGTCACGTACAACTGATGTGACAAAGTGCCATATACATTTAAAGACAGGAGGCAACGGTTTAGTGCATTTAAAAACAAAATAATTTACTTATTTCCAGTAATGAGCGTGGTTGTTGTTAGCTTGTGTAATTTTCAAGATATTTTCACTTCATTCACTTTACTGTTTCTGCCGCTTATTCATCGCCTTTCAGTCTACTGCAATATATTCATCGTGCATGTTCATATAGCGATGATGATGATCAGCAGTAGTAAAAATGCAAAAATAAGAACCCACAATTTCCTCCGAGCACTGAGTTGCTTCTTCAGGTTGCTTGTTTTTGTCCCACCAGCAGTCATAAACCGCAAACATATTTTTTTATTAACTGTGAAGAAAAAAAAGGCAGCAAACCCTAGGGCTGGAAGTACGTACCATTTTTTTATTGTCAATTAATCTGCTGAGCAAAGTCATTAACGTATCAGATCGCTGTGCAGACATGCATACTCATACAAATGACAATACCGTGTTTAAGGCATCAGAGGAATTGTGTAAATTAGTTTGGAGTTGAGTAAATGTTCAGTAAATGAAGCCCTGCAGTCTCAAGGCTGCCAGTTGAAGTTATGAAAACATGGTTGCTTTGACTTCCTGACTCTATTAAACCATATAATTACTAAAACAGAAACACATTTGCTGAGTAAAATATATTTGAATATTATTGTCATTTATAATCAGTGTAATCTAACAATGTAGCCTATGACTCAGTATAATAATACATTAGGTCTGTGTATGTCCCTCTTGTCCTTGAAAATAATGGATTAAGAAGTAACATATCCACCAACCAATCGACCAGCCGTCCAGAAGGTGTCAGTCCTAAAAATAAGGCACCTAGTTTATTTGTAACCATTAAAAATGATGCATAAATAATTGTCCATATAGTTGGAGATGGCATAGTTTTGTAAAGACGGTCTGCTTGTGAGTTTACATCATGCCTGAGACAATACTTTGACAAAAAGTGGTGGAGGCTGTACCATTGACTGTTCTAAAAACAATCTGAAGATAAATCTGTGCCAAACTGGCTCTGCCCTGGATCAGATGTTAGCTTTGATGAATAAGTCTTGTAGCTCCCTGCTTCTGTACATGAGGGTGTCTTCTGGTGTAGAACAGTTACATGGAGAACTATTTCCTCCCACACACACACACACACACACACACATATTCCTCTCACAGTGGAAAGGAAGGTCACTCATATTTCCCTTGCAGAAGGCTGGCACACTTGTGTTTACATTTCAGTCCCTACACCCCCATCACTATAGCAACTTATTTTCTTATTTTGTCATACTATGTGGGTGTTTTTCAGTCATTTCTGTTGTTTTTAATGTGTAATGTAAATGATGAAGCTTAAGAGCTTAAGGAAACCATTAATATTGAAAGTTGTATCAATGTCTTATCTTGAAGTACAGCTTTATTGGGCAATTTTGATTTTATGATGGCACCAAATGGCTGTAAATTGCAACAGTTTGAGACCAGATGACTTAGAAACCCAAAAAATCTTGGAAGCTGGCAGCAGTAATTTGCATTTCTTGGCAGTAGTTGGTGAGTTGCACTGACGATGTCTGGCCAGTTTTCTTACCCAGCCAAACTATAAATTGGCATTCTTTGTGACAGACTTCAAAATAGGTGGACTGAATTTCTGACATTACATCAAAACCTCAATGTCCCTTGGTGATCAAGACACAAAACCCTAAAATGAACTAAAATCATATGAATGTATTAGTCACAGCACTTGAAGGCAACACCCAGACAACTTTTTATTCCCATTTCATTGGTTTTAAAAACAGTACTGAGATGACCACTTTTTGGAGTTAAAGTTTGCATGTAATTTGTCGGTTTAAACCCAAGTGTGTGTGAAACAGCCATTAAGCCAGTGAAAAGAGACAGAAATTCAACAGTGGACATGTCTGTACCTGGAATGGTGTGGAGGTGGTGTCTCATCACGGGCACGGCCAAGATTTTAGAGCTGCACTGAACAATTAGTCTGCTGGGTGTAGACACTCTCAGACAACCAGTCAGACATTTTTACACATATAGATCAGTGACTCCTTTTTTGTTAGTTTTTATTGCATTTTGCTTAATTTGGACAACAGGATATATAAAAATAACTTTATCATCATAATAAGTTTCCACTGAGTGATACTGTTTAATTATCCTCCAGTCCTACTCTCAAACTCCTGACACACCTGAACATGCCAGCTGCTGGAAGACTGCAGTTTCAACACAGTGACACGAAATGACAAGACAATTTAAAAGCATGCATTTCGCAAGATTGTAGTGGACATTGAACATGTAAATACTTGTTGGTGCAAATTAGTCAATTGTGAGTATCATCCTTATAAGAAAAGGCCTGTAGGCAAAAAAATATCCTGATTTACACCACATCCCTCCACTCTTTATCTCTTTATGCCAAAGGGAATGCTGGTATTTATTTCCTGTTTATATCTGATCATACTCTGATGTTCTGTCTGTGAAGTGCTGCAGTGCTTTTTTTCTTGATATTTTTTTTAGCTAAAGGCCAACACATCTTTGCATGAAAATATTGAATATTAATATTGAAATATATTGAAAATATTGACACAATTAGCAAATCCTTTAATTTTACTCTTTTACCAGTATATTTGACACCTATCTCAGCTTTGAATGGGGGGGCACAGTGAATCGCCTCTGTTGTGAAGTATGTGTGTAATGAAAGGTAATTTCCTCCCAAGCTTTGTGCAATAAGTTATTGCCCCTTCTCACGATCTGATTTAAGTGTGAGATCTTCCAGACCCCAGACATCCCATGCATGCAAACATGCTTTATCATTTCCTGTATATGCTACGCTTTTATTGGATTCAATTTCATCTCACTGCCTGCTAACATTCATACTCACTCAACAAGATGAATTGTTCCATCACAGGCATTGCTGAGAGGAATACTGTTGAAGAATATTTATTGAATAGTAATTGAGTTTTACTGAATGATTTTCTGTCTCTTTGTGAGGTTGCTTGACTTTTTTGAGCATATAGTTAATTGTGCGTACTATAGGGATACGAACAGTGGCCGGCATCTCTTGTTCGTAGTTATACATTACCGGATGTTACCTGCTTACATTTAAACAAACACATTGATGCTCCAGTCCACAGTATGACACATTTTTGCTGTCACAACTACAGCTTGATGTCTTTTTAAACACTATGCTAGTATAGTCATAAAATGTGTGGGAAACCAGAATGAGGTAAGCTTATCTTGATCAGGATGTGTAAGCTCTTTTGCTTCTCTCCCTCTGGCTTGGTGTAGCTCACTAGCTTTTTCATAGTTATGCAACTTCACTGCATCTTCTCATATCAGCTGACCTCCAGTATTATGGACCTGCTTTGTAGCTGAACCAAGCACAGATGATCTCTGAAGTCAACTAAGCTGTGTGTCATCATACTAAACTGATGGCTCTGGTCAGTCAGATATCAGTACTTAAGTAGCTCTTGTGTAAAGTAACATTTTCTGTGGTTGAGAGTTTTGTTCTACTCCTACATTCCTGTTCTTACTTTTACAGACACGTCAGCCGTTCTCTGCCCCACACTGTATCGGAGGTGTATTTGCTATGTTAAGATGCTGCTAGTGCAAACCCAACATTTCCTGCTGTTACTACTTCACATGAAACGCTTTCCAGTGGCAAACCACAGGCAGGAAGCAGCATTTGTCACTGAAATTAGCACCTGACTGTTACTGTTCCAAAAAACTAGGTCTGCACACTAAGATATGGTTAATTTCTTTTGTTATTTCATCTCGGTCACTTAAAAATATTTTAAAGATAAATGGTGAAAGAAGAAACGGCCACAGTGAACTGTTGTAGGTGAAGAGCTACAGGAAACAGGTGCTTACTGCAGTTTGTGCAAACCTCCAAAATGTCATCAAGCTTAGTAACCTTTGCTGTACCTTTCTGATTTATGGACATAACTGCATCACACACACTGCATCACTTTTAGCTGCAAGCACAGTCACTCACGGCGTATTATTGCCACCAAATGGGTTGCTATGGCTGCCATTTAATATTAGCTAATCCTTGGGGACAAATGTACCCGTCAAAGTATGTTCCCTTTTACCTTGCATATCATTGTAACATTGTAACTTCATTTGAAGTAGAACCTTTTCAAAACCTTGTGTTCCTTCAACATTGATGTCTAATTGTTGGCTTGTGTATGTTTTTTTTTTTTTTTTTTTTTTTTAATAATCCAGCTCTGCCTATGATCGGGACAACAAGATACGTGTGGCCATTAAGAAGATCAGCCCCTTTGAGCACCAGACGTATTGCCAACGCACCCTGAGAGAGATAAAAATCCTTCTGCGCTTCAAACATGAGAACATCATCGGAATCAACGACATCATCCGAACACCAACCATTGACCAGATGAAGGATGTGTATCCTTTAACACACACCTAATACTTGTGTTAACCGTACAAATGGTCTTCAGCTCCAGCATTTGTAGCTGAAAAGGGTTTTCAAGTTGTATTTTATTACATAATAGCCACCTGTCACCATATATTGGGCAGAGAGGCTCTTCACTGTAGCCCAGCAGCAACAACAGTAGCAAACTGGTTGAGACAGTAGTTGCTGTCACTTTCATAATGCAGTTTGTATAGTTTTACACTCTGCCTTACCTAAAAATAAATGGCTGTGAGTTAAGCCCACAGCTAATCAACTCATTTCCTGCTTGCCAGATAAAATGAGCATTCACCCAAAAAAACAACAGTAAACCCTTCAAGATAAAATATCTCTCCTACGCAATCTTTCACCAAGTTAGGTGAAGGCACACATGGGCCAGATGTTGTTTCAGTACGTTATAGGTACAAGAGTACGAGCTCATTTAACCACCATGACACCTCAGGGACTTTGAGATTTGACTGAATTGTGAGGTTTCCCAAAATACTAATCAAGTCAACAGTGTGGCTGTCTTTCTGTGCCTCTGCCAGCCTGCTGTAACACCACACTCAAGATAATTGTCTCAGCTAAATGATGCAAGGTTTTTTGTTTTCTTTGCAATGCTAACAAAATCTAATTTGAGTGTGCCAGTAAAACCTAAATGTAGTTTGAATACTAGTGCAGAGCAGTAAAAAAATAATCAAATCATGTTTTATGACTTTGTTGTACTTGAGGTGTAGGCGGCAGCAGCCTGTTCGAAGGAATTTGTTGGACATATTGATATGACTAAAATTAGGTCGGTTAGAGAGTCATTATGTTTCAGTTATTTTTTCATTGATTGCCCAGCCCTATTGGATACCTAGAGATCTTATTTTTTTTAGAACATCACTATGTGGTCTAGACGGTGAGAAAATGTGACTCATACGGTCAGGACAAATTTATGCATTTAAAAAAAAACATAAGCATCAAAGACACGGAGTGCGGTCTCAGTGATATTAAAGCAGAAGTTTCTTTAACCTGGTCTTGTGCAGATATATTGTCCAGGATCTCATGGAGACAGACCTGTACAAGCTCCTGAAAACTCAACACCTGAGCAACGACCACATCTGCTACTTCCTCTACCAGATCCTACGAGGGCTCAAGTACATCCACTCTGCCAACGTCCTGCACCGTGACCTGAAGCCTTCCAACCTCCTGCTCAACACCACCTGTGATCTCAAGGTAGGGTCTCAAAGAGAAGTTAACGATTGAGATAGACTGGGCTTCATAAACATATTTCTATGAAGAATTTATTAGCAAAAAAGAAATCCAGTGACTTACTGGACATTTTTCCAATCTGTTGAGGGTTTTAAGTTGTTAATGAAATGACATCCATCTTATTTTGATCTCGTATCTTCTAATGTTGCAGTCAACATTGTCATTGTCACTCTTCTCTCTGCAGATCTGTGATTTTGGTTTGGCTCGTGTGGCTGATCCCGACCATGATCACACTGGTTTCCTAACAGAGTATGTAGCCACTCGTTGGTACCGAGCACCTGAGATCATGCTCAACTCCAAGGTGAGTGTCCTCACTTGCTGTAAAATGTTGAAAAAAATCAGTTGATAATATATATTTATATATTTGTTAAACAGTTAGAAGATTGTGGCACTAACACTGCCGTAATGAATTAATTCTACCATACTTACTCGTATAATACTGTTTGCATTCATGCTATGTTAATGCGACAGTAGCTCTGTCTGCAGACTGTGGACTGGTAGCTGAAGCAGGTGCCAGCTCACTTCCTGGACACTGCCAAAGTGCCCTTGAGCAAGGCACTGAACCCCTAACTGCTCCACAATCTCTCCGTGTGTGTGTGTGTGTGTGTGTGTGTGTGTTTGTTGTGTGTGTGTGTGTGTGTGTGTGTGTGTGTGTGTGTGTGTGTGTGTGTGTGTGTGTGTGTGTGTGTGTGTGTGTGTGTGTGTGTGAAAACAAAACAAAAAAAGTGAAAGTGAAAAAAGATTGTACTCATCTGGAAATACTAAAAGTGTCTTCTTCCTCTTTTAGATAGACTGTGGTCATGACTATGTCTTTGTGCTCCTCACTCTCAGGGCTATACCAAGTCCATAGACATCTGGTCAGTGGGTTGCATCCTGGCTGAGATGTTGTCCAACAGGCCAATCTTTCCCGGGAAGCACTACTTGGATCAGCTTAACCACATTTTGGGTATTAATTCTCTTCATATCCAGTGTTTTACAACTTGTGTAGTGCTGTAGTATTTAATCTTTTATACAGACTTTAGACTAAAAACAAAAAGTTCACACAGTCTGTTAGTAGCAACAGCTTTCTGGTGCCAATCCATAGATACTGTACCTGTTAATATGCATTTATCAAGTCGTACTTTTTGTGTCTTCGTGCTAGACCACATATTGCTTTTCCCATCTGTCATTTTTGTTGTGCACTCAGACTGTCAAAACTTCCCTATATAACTAAAAACTATAAGCAGGGGCTGTGTGCTCTTCCCCAACGCTGATCCCAAAGGTCAGAGCTAGGACTACAGTTTACAGTAAGTGCAGTGGGCTGTTCTGTTTAGGGGAGCTGCTAGCTAGGTCATCAACAAATACAAATCCTATATAAAATACTTAAAAAGCTCTTAACTTAAAACAGAGTTTTAAGTTAAGCTTTGTGTCACTTGTTTGTCTTAATGTAAGGATATCATTCTGGTTTTTTAAAGGCACACTGTGCAAGATTTTTACCTTAATATAACAGCTTTGAAGTCATTTCTATGGTAAACGAACTCGTAGTATCGCGAATGATCTCGATAGCAAAGCAGAAGAGGGACGCCGTTGACAGAACCAGCAGTGCAAGTCTGAAGAGACGTATATATAGAGACGGCTCTGGTGAGTGGTATTTACGACACTTAACGTTAAATACAAGTACTCCGCAGTGACTTTTGGGGTAGCTGTTTAACAAAACCGGAAAACTGCATAGTATGCCTTTAAATGTTTTGGATGACAGAGGTCATTTTTGCCAATGTTAACCGGAAGCACAAAATGTCACTATACCGGTGACATTGTCTGTATAAGCATTTAATATTGTTCCTTTTGGAAGCATATTGTTCTATTAAAAGGAGCAGTAGAAGATAACTTGATAATTTCCCACAGTAATGACACTCCTAAGATGTGGTGTCTTTTCCCTCCTAATCTCTGCTAGCCACCAGCTGCTCCCTGACAGGCCTCTAAGCAGGGGCTGTGTGAATTAGTAGACAGTGTTTCATTTAGAGTTGTGCATTTGCTTACTATCATATACAAAATCACAAAGTAATTCTTTATAATCTTCTCTTCAGGGATCCTGGGTTCTCCCTCTCAGGAAGATCTCAACTGCATCATCAACATTAAGGCCAGGAACTATCTTTTGTCGCTGCCTTTGCGCTGCAAAGTGCCGTGGAACCGCCTCTTCCCCAACGCTGATCCCAAAGGTCAGAGCTAGGACTACCTCTTCATCAACACACACAGTTCCCATTGATCATGGAGTTCCTAGAATATCATGTATCGTTTAAGAGGCTGTACTGTAGACAAGGGAGTGTCATCATAGCTAAACAATTTCATTTACATGAATTTTCGCAGAAGAGAAATAATAATTTACTGAGTGTAGATTATATGAACTTTGCCTTATGCTGTTGTGATTTCAAGCTACATAACTAGATTATATCGGCTCAATAAATAAGTCCGCTTTGAATTTCCTTAAATCAGTAATGTCTTATAAAATAATGTGTCATAGTGTTCTACCTGGAAATAATCCAAACAGCGTAGAGGGTGTGATGGTGCCCTCTAGTGGGCCGGCAAGCTCAGTCCTTATTTCAAGCTCAGAATCACTTAACTCCTTCTTTTCCCTGTCAAATGTTCTCATCCTTGTGCTCCAGCTCTGGACTTGTTGGACAAGATGTTGACCTTTAACCCTCACAAGAGAATTGAGGTGGAGGAGGCCCTGGCGCACCCCTACCTGGAGCAATATTACGACCCCACAGATGAGGTGAGACAGTCAGCTTGTGCTATATGGGCCTGTTTGGAATGACGCCACACAATGTTTCACTATTCCTGAGCATTTGTTAAACAGGCTGGTGCGGTAGATTTAGCTGCAATGTCACATTAGTATGTCCTCTCTGCTTCTCTGTGTAGCCGGTTGCTGAGGCCCCATTCAAGTTTGACATGGAGCTGGATGACCTACCCAAAGAAACACTGAAGGAGCTCATCTTTGAAGAAACTGCACGTTTCCAGCCCGCCTTTAGGTCCTAACATCTCACACAGGTATGTCTGCATAAACTCAGGGAGGGACAGACCTACAGGGACAGAACAATATTACCAGTAGCTGCCCTGAAGTCTTGAAACAGCCAACTTTTCATGGTCAAAAAGATCAGGGTTATCCTTGACACAGTCGGATGTTTCTGCCTCCGCTGCTTTAAAAATGCTGTATAGTTGAGTTTCCATCATGAAAACAACTTTAAAAACTACTGATTCATTTGCATTAAATTTAACAGCTCACCACTCAAGAGCTCGAGTAAAGACCTCACAGAGTACACTATTATATAGATGTAAATGTTGCTTTTGTAGAGTGAAGTAGAGGTTCTTCACCAGGATAAAACCACTTTAAAAGCCATCTATCTAAACTTCAAAGGTACTGTACACCACCAAGTAGAATTCTGCTCCATTGCTGTCAGTTTGCACACAAAGCAAAACCTTAACAGTACCACATTTGTGCTTGATCTTTAGATATTTTAAAGTTGTAGTGCAGCCTGTGGGTGCAGGACTAGCATCTAACCTGAGGGTAGATATACACAAACACAGTTTATGTTCGCAAAGTATTTCTTTATGTGTCACAGTTTACAGTAAGTGCAGTGGGCTGTTCTGTTTAGGGGAGCTGCTAGCTAGGTCATCAACAAATACAAATCCTATATAAAATACTTAAAAAGCTCTTAACTTAAAACAGAGTTTTAAGTTAACCTTTGTGTCACTTGTTAGTCTTAATGTAAGGATATCATTCTGGTGGGGAAACCAAATGGTTTTTAAAGGCACACTGTGCAAGATTTTTACCTTAATATAACAGCTTTGAAGTCATTTCTATGGTAAACGAACTCGTAGTATAGCGAATGATCTCAATAGCAAAGCAGGAGAGGGACGCCGTTGACAGAACCAGCAGTGCAAGTCTGAAGAGACGTATATATAGAGACGGCTCTGGTGAGTGGTATTTACGACACTTAACGTTAAATACAAGTACTCCGCAGTGACTCTTGGGGTAGCTGTTTAACAAAACCGGAAAACTGCATAGTATGCCTTTAAATGTTTTGGATGACAGAGGTCATTTTTGCCCATGTTAACCGGAAGCACAAAATGTCACTATACCGGTGACATTGTCTGTATAAGCATTTAATATAGTTCCTTTTGGAAGCATATTGTTCTATTAAAAGGAGCAGTACAAGATAACTTGATAATTCCCCACAGTAATGAACACTCCTAAGATGTGGTGTCTTTTCCCTCCTAATCTCTGCTAGCCACCAGCTGCTCCCTGACAGGCCTCTTGCTGTGATAATAACTATCAGTACTACATTTTATAGGCTATCATCGGCATTGTGTAATTACTGTGTTTCTTCTCTACAGCATTTCGATGCATAACATGGGTCTACTGAAAAGGAACAGAGTGTGACATCTCCTAAATTAGAACAGCAGAAAGCACATCACTGCTCTTTGCAGTGGTAACCATCTTTGCAGCTTTAAAATGCGTTTCTTCAAACCTTATTTCAGTGCCTGTAGCTCCTGTTAATGTATATTTAACTATATAAACCATTAACAGTTTGCAGCCGTTTCTCATTAAGGGGGTCAAAGTAGAAGACAGAGTTAATGGGACATTTATTACTTAAATATAATAGTTGTAAATGCTTTATTAAATGGGTTGGGATGTCCTTACATAAACATTTGTAACTGAATGCAAGTGTCATTATTTCAATCTTAAATGAAACTGTTCTGTGCTGTGGTGTTTCTGCACTGTGGTGGTCACCTCTCACTCTAACAGTGTGGTTTACACTAGTAGTGCTGTAGTTACGAGTCTCTCTAGGCGTCACATTTTTTTCATTCCAAGACAGAGCAACTAGAAATGCCCCAATACCCCATCACCCATGTTCAGCTAATGCTTCCCAGTACAGGGTAGACCTGTACGGAGCATTAGTGCAACCAACCTGAAAACCCACAATAATTCTAGTTAAGACGTTAATACCTTTCAACAGGAAGAGGTCAGAGGTCAGGCTGATATCTACATTACGCCAACATCCACCACTACTAATACATTTGTTTCTAGGGAATGTTCTTTGAGCTTTATTGTAAAAAAAAAAAAACTTTAATTTGTCAGATAAATCTCACTTTGTTTTGTCTAGAGGCAGATGGAGCTGACAGACATATTTATGTGTACTAGTAGTTCAATATAATTGCTTATTGAAAAGTGTATTTAATTATGAGGTACATGATTAACTCACATTAAAGTTAAATTCACCAGAACAGAGGCAATAATGCTGTCAGATGTTCAGTGGCCTGATAATCAGACTTCATTCCTTCACTAACTGAATGGATGAACAGAAATTTGTGTGGTTTTGGAGGTCTGGGTCCAGGCTGCTGTTTCAGCTCAGAAGCTAAAGGAGAATCACTATTATGTTTTCACATCAGATGATTGGGTTAGTGTCAAGGCAAGTTTACTATATAGCGTAGTTCATACACAAAGTGCATTTTAAAACAGGAAAAATTTAAACACAAATTTAAAAGGCTATCAACCATTTTAAAACAATTAAAGATATAAGCAAAGAAATACTAGATAGGTAAATATATATGTGCCAAAGGAATAATAAGTGCCAAATATTCAGTGAAAGGCAGTGGAGAACAAGAATGACAAGGGGTGGAAGATTTTAATATGAAGCAACAGACAGCAGAACTTCCTACTGTGTTAGCCAGTTTAGCACCTGTTGCATATGTGCTGCACACACAGGCTCACTCCTACTCTCGAGGTGCTTCACTGGACAGTGTAGAAAATGGCATTTTTCATTAACCTCATGTTAGTATTGGGGGTTCAGCAGCTTGGTACTGAATCATTTTGTTGTTTTACCAACTTGGAACTGGATCAAAAATGCAAATGACTATTGGCAACCCTGCCTGCTACAGGTGTTATGTCATCCAATGATACATTAAAGCAGAATACACATTTATATGTTTGTGCAGTTAATTATTACTTCAAATAAAGAGGAAATCAAATATGTGACAGCTCATCACACAGTCACTGTTTTTTCTCCCCCCCCAGATGATTCTGTGGACTGGCTTCTGCATTGCCACTGCTCCTCCTCGCCTCCACACTGTTGCTGTGATGGTTTTTTTGGTTTTGTTTTTTTATTTTCCTCTCCTGTTGACCACATCACCTGGATTCCTTGGGTCTCACTCGTCAAGTCCACTTTGCTCAGGAATGGCGTCAGGAATCAATCAATCAATCAATCAATCAATCAATCATCCTCTATCTTTCTTTCTATTACCCTTTTTTTTTCTCTCTCTCTGAGGCGAGGGGGAGGGGGGGTCACATCACAGTTTATGGTTTGGGGGTGATTTTGTGTTTTAAGCCAAGATAAACAATTTTTTTTGTGTGTCTCAAAAGGCGTTTGGCTCTGGCTATTTCCTATTCAAGACCTTTTATGTCCAGTTGAATGACAGTGATAGACTAGCTGTTGTGTTTTTGGGTGCAGCTGTCGTGGTTATAACTCTGCCTACATTGCACAAACAATGGTAGATTACTTTTAAGAATCATCCATCATAAAGGTCTTTTGAATTTTCTAACCTTTTGTCGCACTGTTACAAGGGACACCTTGATCTCTATCTCTCTTTTTTTCTCTCTTTATCTCTTTTGAAAAAAGAAAAACCTGAATTAAATAAACTGATTTATGCAATGAAATCACATAATCAGCCAGAGACTTTGCAGGCCACAAGCCATCACTTGGTGTTGATGAGGATCTATATTTTAACAAAGACCTTGTATTTCCTTAACACACACACACACACACACACACACACACACACACACACACACCCAAATGCACACACACGCGCATAGTCCCAAATGCAAATATATATAAATATATAATATATATATATATATATATATATATATAGCCCAAAGAGTCTTAAGAATATTTCAATTGCAAGGGTGACTATAGAAGATGAATCAGATACATTTATAATCTTTTTTTTTTTTTCTTTTAATTAAAAACTAAAAATGCCCGTTTTCATTTCTCATTGGCTTCAGTAAGATGTCAGGTTGTGTATGAATGCACCAAATTACAGGTGCATTGAACAGTTTTCGCCATCAATTTCTGCCTTAGCCATGAGAAACTAAAGGAAAAGTCTGTTTATTTCATACAAGTCTGTATGTACAGTATGATATTTTTCATATGGGGGAAAAATTTACTGCGTCAGGACAAGAATTCAGTTATCACCACTCGTTTCATGTGGAGGAGATGTTGTCATGCCTCCCTTTTCGTCCTGTTTCATGTTTTTCTTTTTCTACTTCAGTCTCTGTTAATCTCTCTTTCGCCTTGTTAGAATAATACTGTGCCCTTTGCATGACTGTTATAAGCTCTGTATACAAAGACGATGATGTTAAGTGCCACACAAACTGGGCAGATCCGCTGGGAGAGTGCTCAGGCTCTTTCTGTTCTACCTTTTTGTGGTATATCACACTTCCCAATCACATGGTGCTTTTTGTCCTGTTTCTTTCTTTTGCTTCAGCATTCTCTTCGTCTGTTTTCATTTTGTCTCCATTGGTGTTAAAGTCTACAGACTTCGATCTCCTTGTTTTTAGCCAAACTCCATCTGCATGCTAAGAGGTCTTGTTATGGTTGCAAATAGGAGAATAACCATATATCTGTATTTATATCACAAAAAACACCAAACATGTTTTTTCCTGGGCCTGAGAAATGGGATCCAGGCGTGATGCAGTTGAAATAATACTCAAATGTAACAGATCATGTTTTACTTTACATCCTTTGGAACATTTTTTGCTACAAATTGCACATTATCACGCCGATGATAGTTGGCAGTGTCAGTACCAGCAGACAGCTGCAGTAGAATTTTTAAAAAGTACCATATTTTCACTTCTTGTCAGTAACCACTGATTTAAGACTGTTTAATTCACTCTCTATGAGACTCTATTTCAAGCAAAAGGAATTATGACTTTAAAGATTATATTTGTGCAAACTTTGAGAAAAAAACAAGCCAGAAGCACCGAGGCTTCATCAACCAACCGTGTCATTTTAGTTCAGTATCACTGCACCGTCTAACGGCTATCTTTTCTGTTTGTTTACAAGTGGGCCTCAGTTATATTACACCTAGCCTTTTCTGTTCGGTTACAGTACTGCAACTTCAAAAGAAAAGCTCATTTGATAATGTGTGAGTGACCTAATGAATGAAACAAAGTAGTATTATTTAAAACACTAAAGCATCTCAAAGCAGATTAATCAGAAGGCAAAATCTTACCTGAATGAATTCTTCAAGAATCTTTCTCCACTGGCACTTAAAGTGATACATTAGAGGCTTCAGAGGCTTCAACCTAAAATTAGACCATTTCAGGAGTATCAAGCTGCTTTGGCAGATTTTTATTTTTATTTTTATTTTTATTCGTTCCAATGACGACAACGATGTATGTGATCTGTGACAAAAGTATTAGACGAGCTGTAAACTCATGATTTTTACCTTTCTGTCGAAGCTAAACTCAACTTTTGATTGGTATTTACATTTGCATACATGTCAAAAAGCAAGTTTGAGTTGAGCATTTCTGAGGGCAGAGCTGCTCCGGTCGAATTAAATCCCAGTGGACAGAGCCAAAGAACCACAGTTTTACTTCGTGTTTTTCTTTTCTTCTGGCTGAATAATGTCAGACTGAAACTGAGGGGAAAAGTAGGGGCTAAGAGAGGATGCTAACGCTCTGCTGAAATTCACTCAAGCCATAATCAGTCAGTCAGTCAGTCTGTTGCACCTCTGACCACGCCCAACAGCGATGTCACGACGTACTGACACACCCTGGAGTACACTCCTACATCACTGCAGCCAGATTAGAAGTTAAAAGCACTGGATGTAAAGCAAGACTTTCAGATGTTGTTAAATTGCTGATCAATACATATTATTCTGTAATCAAGTAAGATAACTAGCCTGCAACAAATGTGTCTTGTGGAATATTTTACAGGTCTGTAAATTCTTAATATTCCTAGGTAAATTATGTAATATGGTACTAACTACAGGTTAACCATTGACAGTGTTTAGTAGGGCTACAATGATTATTTCCATCATCGTTTTAATTAATGGATTCTTTTTGGGATAAATTGTATGGTCTAAAGAAAAAGTTCCCAGAGCTTTCAGATAATCTTTTTTTATCCCACCAACAGTCCAAAAACACAGAGATACTAAGTTAACAATGATATGAAAGAGAGTAAAATAGCAAATATTTAGAATCTTACTGTGATACATGTCTTAAACAGTGAACCCTATCAAAATTATTAACGATGTAGAAATATTAGGAGATAACAGAACTGTAAAAAGAAGGTGCTACCAGAAAAAAATGACCAGAAAGTTATACAAAGTTATATTAGAAAAATTACACTTTTGATGAGAGTTCCCTCTCTTCACCCCCAAAAATGGTTTTGTTGGTTCTGTCGACAGAGATTTAACTTATCTGATTACATTTGGAAAAAAAAAGAAAAATGTTTATGACCAAAACTTCATTGCAGAAATGACAGTTTTTTGCACTCACAAATTTCACCTGAGCAGACGTTTAACGTGAGGTAAAGACTCGTCTGTCCCAGTACTCCTCACACCCGCTGTGTACACCCATCTGTCACACGATTATTAAATGCACTTGCTTCTACAGTAGTTGGGATGGGACTTGTAATCCGAGGTGCCTGCCGGGACTTGACTTACCTGTAGATAGTCTTTTTGGGGGGTTTAGTTAGAACATTAAGGGCACTGGAAACCTTACTGGGATTAGTTGTATAAAAAAAAGCTTCTGCTGAGTTCTTTGTGCAACCTGTCTGTTTGTGCCTTTTTTGATAGTCTTGATATCCAAGATTTGATGTGCAGCTTTTGTTTAGTCGGGAATCCGTTGTAATCGCAGTATATGCTCTTAAAAATGAACACAATCAAGTCAAGGGATGGGAGGGATCACGGGTGGGTATCCTTATCTTTCAGTTATGTAAATTTAAAAAAAGATTTGTTGCCACAGCTGTGTGATTTGTGACTGTATTGAAAAGATGAAAAGCAAACATTTATATTTTTGCGTTACCCTTTTTCCTTGAGCCTATTTTTTTGTTTTTGTGCAGATATTTTTATTGTAAAATGAATGTTATGTTTCTATCAGACACTAATCTTGTTTGAGTTGTCTCCAGTGGAAATACTTCACTCTGTATGTTTTGATCAGTATAAACCTTTAATTGTGTAGTTAACATTTCTGAAAGAGGAAAAAAAAAAAATAAGATTCTTGGTTGTATTTTAAAGGCTCCTGTTTGACCTGCCATAGAAATTGTTTGAGTTGATCGGTCAGTTTTATTTTGCTGTCGTGTGAAGGATTTGACTTGAACGAAGCATTTCTTTGCTATTATTAAAGACTGACTGCCACTTTGAAATCTGTTTTTTAATGTTTCTTTTTTCTTTTCTTTTTTTTTGCAACTCTGCCATTACATTTAAATAGACATTCATTAAAAACACTGTACCTTCATTAACATCTCTGTGAAGTCTCTTTGTGAGAGTCCAGGAAAACACGACCCAGATTTCAGAAGCATTAGAGACGACTTCTTTACCTGCTGTTAACATCTATCATTACATAGAGAATTGCAAAATAAAAGTTTCTTGGAGCAACACGATATACAATTAAATGTGTTTTATGAGAAGAGTGAACATTCTAAATAAAAATGGTGTATTACTCCAAAAACATGAAGTGTGGCTGCTATTGTTTGCCACTTTTCATCTTGCAGTCGTGTTAGATGAGAAGATCCATTTCATTCTCACGCCTGTACGCAGTCTATGGTCTGTATGCCTAACATGTAGCTGCAGCCTGCAGCTTACTAAAAAGACTGGAAGTAGGGAGAAACAGCCAGCGTGGCTCTGTCCAAAGCTAGCAAAATACTATATAGATACTAGAGTGGTATCGATCTCAACCACATTATGACAAAAAAAAAGCCATTGAGTGTATTTCCCAAATGTAGAAATATTCCTTAAAATGTATGCAAATAACTTCCCCAAACCCTTTTTTAATCTGAGTCTGCAAAGTAACTAGAAACTAAAGTTAATAAATGAATGTGGAGGAAAACGTTCAGTATTTGTCTCTGAAATGTAGTGGACTAGAAGTATAGAGTAGCATCAAATGGAAATACTTGAGTACAGTAGTTTAAGAATTGTACTTGGTTTATTGGTCATAGAGGTTTATAATGTGTCCTTTAAACTTTAAATTTAAGTTTTAAATGTATTCAATTAAATTAAAAGAAAATACAAGTTTTTTTTTAAATATCTGTTTTAAATCATATACGGTGCAGGGGAAATGAATGAAGAGGAATCAGCAAGGATTTTTTGTTTTAAAGCTAGTGTAAACAGAAATGCATAATAGACGCAATAATGTCCGACCGAAGAAGGAACAACTCCTCATGTTCAACAGATTGGAAAGTGTCACTCTCACTGAATCGTAGGCGCTTAATGCCACAGTGTCCTTTAGGGGGCGCTGTCGTACTGTCTGATAACATCTACTGCAGTCTCTCCTCTGTCCACTCAGCAATTTGATTCATAAATTAATGTCGTTCATTTTTGTACAGGCCAGAAAACTCTATTAATTTTTAAAAGTTCAAATGAATGTGAACGTGATCCTGTCAGAATAAAGGATGAGTTACACTGCAGTAATCTAAACATCTCCTTTTTAAATGAAGGGTTGATATACATTTATCAACCTATTAAATCTACATTAATACAAAATATGTGCTTCACAAATCCATTATAATGAATCAAAATAAATACAAACAAAGTGGATAAAAAGGAAACATCAAAATTAGATTTAAAAACATTTTTTTAAGTCAACTTAATATAATTAATTCAACTGTTTTATAAAATATGATTTATAAAATATAAATATATTAACCATGACATAAATATATATGATTAAACTACAGTAAACACCAGTATTAAAACGTCAATCAACGGTATTGATTTTGAGGGGGTTTGTTTACTTGCGCTTCTTGACCACGTGCTTGCAATGCAGTCACGCATGCGCGCCATGGGGTATTAGATTTTGGCACGCGTCTGTGTCGGTGGCGCGCACAGCCAAAAACAACCCTGAGCCACGGCAGCGCGCTGTCCAGAGTCTGGCCTCCGGTTGATTGGCTGAGGACCTCTAGCCCCGCCCTCCGTCGCCGCGGATTGGTCAGGCGGAGATTCTTCTTCTCACTGATTGGACGCTATTTGTAGAACCGGCTGTGTAGCTAGGTTACTGCTGCCTTCACGTACCTCTGCAAAGATCAACATTTTTGAAAATCTGTGAAAGATGAATACATGTGCTTTTGGTTGTTTCGGTCGAAGGTAGCAGCTGAATGGCATCCAGCAGACTTTGTCTTAAATCTTTTTGAGGCTGTAAAAGCTCAACAGCGAAAACAAACATAAGAAAGTGGTAATTATATACTTATTAAACAGTGCATCAGCTGTTGACATGGCGTCCATGATTTCTGCCTTCACCCCCTGGGAAAAATAAATAAATAAATCCACGTGATGTCGTGACCAATCGTATTTCAAGTTTCCAAACTTGCTTTAAAGCTTAAAATAGCCCTACGACGAAAAAATCGATACTTTTCAACCTGGAAAACTGAGAAACTGCAAACAAACTGTGTAGAGAGTTATTGTGGTAAATGTTTTTGTTCCTTGTTGAATGCTTCCTGTCTATAAAAACCAAACTAAACCACCTCAATGACAACTGAACAACTGGATCCACAGAGGAAGATATCCAGATGTGGCCGAAAGCTGCAAAAACAAGTAAGTTGTGCCTTATGTGGAAATATTTTGTCATTTTATGTCAAGTGATTGAATGCATTTGGAATAGTTTAATAATTGAGTTGCTTGCTGTTTGATGTATTCCAGTGATTCGTGTTGGCTTTAAACTCCATTTTCTGTGGGACGATAATAATGTCTTATAATAATGTCCACGTTGTTGTTCTTGGGCGCTCCATTCTTAACACTCGTCTTTCCAGAAGCACTCGAAGGCAGCACTGTTAGGTGGAAATAAAACACCGCTTTTTCTCCACTTTTTGTCTATGTTTTCAGACCTAAATCAGCTCTCACAACTCATCCCAACGAGGAGAGAAAGATTTTTAAACCGACCGGACAGTGTCGTGCGGCAGATCCGAGCTGGTGAATGTGTTTGTGCATTATTCAAAGCGCGCTGCGCATCACACAGCTAATTAGGATTTCAGTATAAATAAGGCCGCAGACGGGACAGCTCGGCCTGTCCTGCCGCTGATGTCGGAGAGCTAAAGGTATAGAGGTTAAAAGCCTTTGAAAAGCTGCAAGCTGCTCCAACATGCACACACTCTGACCCACCTCACGGAGGGGACTGTACTCGAACCGGACCCACGGAGATATCCCGCAGATCTCACGGTTTAGCGCAGATAGTCTATGGTTTATGAACGCAGTGAAGATCCTCCAAGGAGATTTGATGTTTTTTGAGACTTTTTTTTGAATGGCACTCGGCCCGACCTAGACAAGCTGCTGCTACCTTTATGGGACGGTGAAGGTGTCTTGTTTTTATTTTCTTCTTTTTTTTTTTTTCCTAATATCAACACTTCCTGCAGCTCCAGCGGAGAAAACAGATTCCTTCTCCGGGTTGTTTTGGTTTTTCCGATGGGGGGAAGGCGAAGTGTTTTTGGGGTGAGTGGAGAGCAAGTGACCTGCTGGAGGACACGAGTGTGTTAGTAAAAACTGCTTTTTTAAAGTGTGTGTCTGTTTGGTGAGTGTGTTATAACAACCCTACTTTATGATGTTTTTATGTTTGCTTCCTGTTGCACCGAGGGATTCCTAGTTTTTTCGTGGTCTATTTATATCGTGCTTAAATTCATGATGGGATTAGGCTTCTTATGTTTTGGGATGCTTGCAGATCCATTAAAGTATGCAATGCATGAAGAGCACTTTAATAACCTATTCAAGAAGGCTAATAATCTCGTATAACAGTCTGTAATATTCCTCTAGAAACTTAAAGTGTGCTATTTATATCGTGCTTTAAGATGTGTTTGGATTCCCTCTTCCTCTGTAGGATTTCTACAATTGTAGACCTATAAGAACCAGCTCACGTTAAATATAGGGTTACAATTCCTCTTTAATGACACACGTTTTGCAATTTGATCTTCGAGTTTCATTAAAAGGCAAAAGCCCCCGACATGCAGCTCCTTTCAGCTGATGGTTTGCGCTATCTCCGTTATGATCGCCGTCGTCGTCTGTGCGCCTCTTTTGGCTGCAGATCTCGGGTCAGTTTTTGTGTGTGTGTGTGTGTGTGTGTGTGTGTGTGTGTGTGTGTGTGTGTGTGTGTGTGTGTGTGTGGGAGGGGGGCTTATGATGCCACGTGAACAGGGGACAAAAACACAGTGAAAGGATGGATTTCATAACGCTCACGCGCGCACAGCCTGCACCTCGGAGGGAAGCTGCAGTTTGCGGTGTTGTGTTTACATGCACACACATTTGAGGGCTTCACTGTATCGCAGCACAACGGGACCCCTGCTGCGTTGTCAATGTTTTGTCTAATGTGTTTGTTGTTTTTGTTTGTTTTCTAATGAAATGCAGTAAACATGAATGAGACCATGAATTGTTGTTGACGCGCGTCCTCGACGTCAGGACAGCAAGGGTCGGGGGGGGCTTTGGTTTGGGGGTATAGGAACCAGATTAATGTGTGATTTTATATTATATTTAATGTTGTTATCTATGGCATATATATATATATATGTATGCAGTGAACCTGTTCAATGTCCGGATGATGCAGTAGCCTACTGACACATAAACAGCAGAAGGAGGAGGAGGAGGTGGGGGTAGAGGTGGGGGCGGTCTACTGCTGTTTGTTTTTATTCCTATATGTATATCTATAAAATAAGAACTGCTGCTCAGTATCATATGTCTAAGCTTAAAAAAAAGAAACACTCGAGGAATCTATTGATCTGTTTCTAAAATGAACAAATGGGGAGAGGCTTGTTTTGGCGCAAAACCTCAGAGAACTGTTTGACTGTTTTTCAGGAAAACTCATCCTATAATATTCTTGTAGTGTTTCTATGCTGCTCAGCTGACCTTCCTCTGCTTGCTGGTGTTTCTGTTCTCATATGGTGTCATGATGATAGCAGATTGCATGCTTTGCCGTGTTTGACATCCTTATAAATCAGGTCAGGGTCCTTTTATCTTAAAGGATTTTCAGCCACAATGCCATTTAAACAGTGCACAGGCGGATTATCTGGGAATCATTTCTCATGCAATTTGAGGGGTAAATGTGTCGGAAATATCAGCTGCAGAAACCAAATGTGACTCTGTGTTTAATTAATAACAACAGACAGCTGCAGGTGGAAAACTAAGCACGACAAACAAGAATTTCTATTTTTCATATCAGAAAAATGAAAAGGAGTCAGATTCATATTCTCATCTTGTATTTATTTACACATCCGGGTATCTGCGCGCTCTCTCCTCCCAGCGGTGGCGCGTTCAGGCCGCATGGGAAATAATCTCTTCCAGCAATAACAAAACAATAACTTCATTTTTCTGAAACTGAAATATGTAAGTTGTTGCTTCTGATGAATAATCCTCAACTTTGTTAGGCACAGACACTTTACGTGTGATGCGTTTGAGGTCATGTTTAACAGCAGGCTAATACATTTTCCAGGCAACAAACACGTCCAAAATATCTTGACCTCCACTGGAGAAAAAGTTGGGCTTCAGTTGCCAAAGTCAACAACTTGAAACACATATGGGGGGAGGGCCCTCGAAATGATCTATTTATAGATCCCATACAAAAGCAGCACTATTAACTGAGCAAAACTATAAACAAAAACAACCAAATGAAGTTGGAGTAAATTGAGCTATTTACAATAGGATTCACTTTAAGATGAGATGAAGTTTATTTATCATGTGCTGGGAAACTGAAGTGTCAGCAGCTAGAAGAAAGTCAAAGAACAGAAAGAACAGACAATTGTGTAGGTCTAGTAGAAAATGCGTAAGTACATACACAATACTAAATGAACTACAAATAAGATGTGAAATTAACGTTATTTCCACCTGAATACTACTTTCGACCTGGTTTCCATCTTTCCCACGGGAGCTTGAATGCATCGCAGCCACCTATGGGCCAGCCCGGCTGTCAATCCCAGCTCCATCTCCCTCCCACGTGGTGACGTTTCCGTACCAAAGTAACCAGTCCAGTCCATTACGCACACAAAAGACACAACAAAAGCCCGTGTTGGGAAAAATGAGATCCGTCAGCACCCAAAGGACTCAACAATAAGTTCCCATCTGGCAGCAGCACCCATGGACCAGAGCCTGGGACGACGACAATCATTTATTTAACTCTTAAAAAAAAAAAAATCTCTCAACAAAACATCTCTCTCTTTCTCCAGCAAGCAGTTTTCCACCAAGCTGCGTTTTGCTCAGATCTGATCCAGGTGGTGAGTACAGCAGCAGGGCAATGTTTACCTCAGGAAAGAAACAAAAAAAAAAAAAAAAAGGAGGAAAAAAAGCTGAAAGAGAAGCAGCAAACACTGTTCTGGTGTCGTGCTGGATTCACAGACTGCATCAGGCTCGGAAAAAAACAAAACAATACAAACCAGCCAGCACAGCGACACTGTTGCACTTGAGCTGGCGTCGTGCTCTTTGTTGGGGGGGGTAAACACATTTAGAAGATGAGATGGAGGAAAATAGATGGACGGAGGGAGGTTGCAGAAGGCTGTAATGTCAAGATGAACTTATTGAGGATGTTAGAGCGCATGTTGTGTCGGAGATGTGTTGCTTTTTTTGGTTACATTGAGTGGAGTCTTTTGTCTGGACACTCTTCCTGTTACTGGTTACCAGAGACGCACACTGTGCTGCCTCTTTGTTTTCACTTTGCTCAGTTTGACTATCAGCTGTTCCTGCTGGTGTTACCTGTCGTCTCAACTCATGTCTCTCTCTCTCTCTCTCTTTTTTTTTTTTTTGTAGTTCTCCTTTTTGTTTATCCTTAAGAACAAACAGAATAACCCGTCTCCACGTACTGATGAAGGCTGAAACAAAAGAGACACAGATTCTAGTGCCAGCAAATGATTTGATGATTTTGAAGATTAAAGGCTTCATTTTAAAGTATTTCTCAGCTGTTGTGTTGACGTGAAAATACAGAAAATGCTTAAGTAACATCATAAAAAGTCAACACAAATAAGACCATGTGCTGTCAACCCTCAAGATACCCTCAAGTCAGCAACTTGGCTTCACAGGGGACCAAAACAAACAAACAAACAGCTCCCCACTTGTCCTTATTTGGCATTTTTGAAGAAAAAAGCAAGGTGTGTGCGTCATGTCATGCTGTCAGTGTGTGTGTGTGTGTGTGTGTGTGTGTGTGTGTGTGTGTGTGTTGGAAGGGGGGGGGGTTGTCTAAATGCAAATAACAGCATGCTGTTGTCTGTGTATGTGAGAGACAACTCTTCCTCTACTGCACAAAGCTAATTTAATCAGTGATGGCGAGGATGCTCCAGTGTGACACACTTATAAAGCTCTGGTTTCTATGTGTGTTTGTTTGTGTGTGTTTGTGTGTTTACCTTTTCCCCATGCACGTGCCACCGAGGTTAAACTGGGCTAATTCATAAAGGGGATTTTGTCCTTTTCATGCAGGGATTATGCCTCAAGCACCTGTGCAGATTATACAGTATGTATGTAAATATGGTTGTCTGGAGGCGCTGGGTTCTGAACTGGGCTTCTGTACCTTCCCAGACGTGTAAGTGTGTGTGTGTGTCTGTGTGTGTTTATGTGTGTGTGTTTGCAGAGCAGCCATGCTTCACGTCACGGCTGCTTCCTGTTGAGTTGCGGAAGCTTCTTTGTTTTGTCGTCTGGCTGCTGGCTCCTGTCTCGGCGCTGCTCTTCCTGTTGCTGCACGTTGAGCTCAACTGGAAACTTCTAGAGCCGCTGAAGCTCGTTCTCATTGTGTGTTCACTCTCAGGGATGCAGCAGGGTTATTGTGTTTTTTAACAAGGCGCAACCTTTGTTATGCCTTGTTGCTGGTTGAGCCTGTTGGCTGTGGTACACAATGTTAAAGGACAACAGGTAGTTCATTTTAAATGAGTTTCAACACTTAGATTATGAATCAAAAGATTAGAATAAACCCCCTCACACTTGTCTTTTGTTATAACTTACACATTCTCTTTCAAAAGAAGTATCAGGTTACAAAATATGGCTGACTATGGAGTATAATTTACTTGAGAATCATACAGTAGCATAAATAAATAAGTTTCTTTTTCACTCTCTTTCTAATACTGTCTACTGTCGTCTGTGTCTGGTTTTTCTTTCTGGGGAAAAACAGACCCCCCCCCCCCCACTGCACATAAAGCATGTTTCATAATATATTTTTCTAGTAAATATATGAAGTGAAAGCCACTGTGGTTGAGCAGATAAATGGCACCACCTATAGGCCGTCTAATTTTTATCAACAACAAAATACACAAGATGTCATAGTCCCGCCTACGCTGTTTGACTGACAGGTGGTCCATGAGAACAGTGCAGCCATTCACTTGCCTTCAGTGGTGGAAAAAAGTATTCACAGCCTTCATTTAAAGGTCCAGTGTGTAGGAAGAGGGGGATTTACTGGCAGTATATGGCAGAAATAGAGTGTAGTATTCATCAGTATATTTTCATCAGCGTATACTCACCTGAAAATAAGAATCACTGTGTTTTACCTAAGAAAGAGACATTTTTATCTACACATCCTCCAATTCCAGTTTGTTTGGGTTTAGGCATTTAAAAAAAAGGTCTTTTGTACCACTGAAACCATGATTATTGAAAGTTATTCTGAGTAGACAGCGCTAAGCAGATGTTTCCTAGCAACCAATTTTCAAATTCTTTACTAGCTATTAAGTTTTAAATCACTAGTTTGAATCTAGCTAGTAAGAACATAGGAAGGACTTTTCAAATTCTTAACTTTTCATTCAGTGTTGCTCTGTGTCGGCTGGATGATAAGCAACTGTTGGCTAACACTCACACAATAATAACTTTATAAACCCATAATATGTCAGATTTTGTGCCTGTAGCTTGTTCTGCTGCTCCCAAGTGGCCAATAAATCAATGATACTTTCCTAAAGAAAAGTGCTGTTCAAAGGGCTTTACAGATGACTGAAAAGCTGATTATAAGACAGGGACAAATGTAAACAGTTGGAATAATTAGAGACTAAGTTAAATTAAAAAATTAAAAAATCATAACGATGCAATTATAAAACAGATAAAAGGACAAACAAACAAAATAGATAATAGTCAGTAAAACATGAATACTAATACACTTAAGTGTAATACTTTAGTGCATGTGCTCAATTACTCTCCATCACAGTCTGCAGTGCTGGTGAACTGTGACTGGAGCTGAATGTGTTTGAATCACAGCTTATCAAATGAAAATAAACTTCATTTCCACGGTGCCTTTTGGACAAGATTGCTATACAAAGTGCTTCGCATAGAAATGAAAGAATGATCAATAAACAAGACACAACACAGCGTAACAGTAAGAAACCGGAGAAAAGTAAACTAGTAAGAGGCATATTCATTCCAAACCTCTGTAACCTCAAACCTCAGTGTCCACTTAAAGACACCAAATAGCCATCATCTCTGAACACAGACAGAAATGTTTATAGGAGCAACGCTTGTGTAAAATATTCCCTTTGACAGCTGAGCCTTTTAGTTCCTGCTCGCTGTAAACCACGGACCCAAACACACAAACATAACTATTAATAATGATAATTCAGTAGACAAGATAAATAAAAGGGTCATAAAAGGCAGCAGGCAGCACAGAGACCAAGGCAGCAGCGTGAAAAAGAGGCAGAGAAAAGGGTTTATTTGAATAGAAATGAAGAATATAAAACAAAATTGGTCTGTTTGACGATGTGAATGATATATTAGGTATTTTTTTTAGAGTGTGGCATTTCTTTTGAGGAAATGAATTAGCTTTTGAATTGGCTTTTTGAAAGATTGAATATGCATATTTTTGTGCTTGTGTCAGCAATAACGTCATATCTGGTCAGCCGGAATCCAAATTCTTGCCACACCAAAGTCCAGACAGCAGTACAGTAAGAGGTGGAGCAGGTCTCCATTCTGGTGAATATTTGGCGTTGTACACCTGCAGAGATGTTTTTGTCAATCTGAGTCTCTTTTTGAAAGGTCACACGTTCATTGTGTCTTGGCTACATTGTCTCATCGGCTATTCTAGTGTGTCCTGCGTATGAACTGAACTGGTATGCGTTTGTTTCTGTAGAGCTGAATCTCCTGCCGGCATGCTGAATTCATCTCAGCCGTGAAAACATGATAAAGCTTCTGTTTGGAGATATGTTTTTCACGCTGTGTCCTGCTGTGTGTGCTTTTTTTTTTGTCTTGCCCTCTTTGTTTGTTTGTTTGTTTGTTTTAAACCGGGCTCATATTTTTCGTAGTTTTGGCCATGGTTTCTTTTGTTCCTGATTACGTTGCACTCACCTAAGTAACTGCTGAGATCTGGGAACGAGTCACTAATAAGAAGTCCAAAGGAGCAAGAAACAGGAGCAGTCAGACGATCCGACAGATTGTAAACAAACCCAAGGTTAGGCAGACTTATTTGTGAAGGAAAATGAAGGCACACTGTAAAATGGTTACCCTGTCTGTTGTAAAAATGTGTTAGAGTTTACAGACTGACTTCCTGGTTCAGCTTTGATCTACTGTGCTTACTGCTTTTCTGCAATAGAGGCTTATTACCAACATTTCAGATCCTCACACTTTCAGTTCTACCTCCACGCAATGCTGTTTGGATAATCTGGCTCAGCTGTTGGCTTGTCGACTACCTGTCTGATTGGTTTTAATGCTGGGGTCCAGGGACCAACAGGGGCCCCCAGCAAAAGGAGGGAATAGAATATTTTAACTTGTATCACATTTTATGTTAGAACAAGGGAAGATTATAATTATAGTTATAATTATATAATTATATTATTTATAGTGATCCCAGTTTGATTGAGTATGAAGACTTTTATAGTCTTGAAACTTAAAAATAAAAAGGATTACTCAGAGGGGGATTCATTAAGACATAATCCTCTTAAATGTTACCACATTCCCAGATTTTAGCAGTTTACATGGGGAGTACAATATCTTATATGTGGCAAAACCAGTTAAAATAAACCAGAATTATCCTTTAACATCAGCATGCCAACTATTTGCAGATGATAATTTGGCTGAAGCTGGCACATTAGTTAATAGCTTAGTCTAAATAAAACAAGTTATAAAAACATATTTAATTGCTACAAAGACTGATCACTATGTAGTATTTCCTCTTTATTTTGACTGACAGGAGTTAGTGTCGCTACTAGTCCACAATTATCTACAGTTCAAAATGATATTTAACGCAATAATACTTGTGAATCAACATAATGATAAAATTTGAATATTTTACGTAGGATATATAATTAAAACAGAGCTAGTGGACATTAATTGAAACTATAATTGCCACACTAAACTCAACAAAACAACTCTTTTTGCAGTTAAAATAAAGCGTGTAAGATAAATGTCAGTAATACACATGTTGTCCTTTTGAAGGATTCTATGAATGATTACATAATTTTCCTGACAGGCAAACAAACAAAAACACCTAACTCTTATCCCTGAAGCTACAATAATCTCCTCCTACATCTATCGGCCCAGTGGGACAGAACAAATAAGGACGCGCTGCTGTAATATAAACCGAATAATAAAATAGCTTGTGACCAAGTGAGACATGTTACGGGGCTTTACATAAACAAGGGTTTGTTTGACGGGTCATATTAAATTACATCAGCATGCAGCCATGTTGGTCGGCAACAACATGCGATTGTAATCACATAATAGATTATTGTAATCAGATGATTGCTTGAGCAAATGAGCTGCGCTTATATTGGAAATGCAATCAAGATCATGAGCTCTAAAAATAGGAAGTATGGAACGCGTGTCCCTCACCGCAGCCCCTCTTTTCCTTTTCGCCCTGCAGGTTTGATTTTCTCTTGTGGTGTCTGTGTGGAGCGTGCCACACACCCACTCCACAACAACGACGGCTTTTGCTTGCATCTTCCAGTGTTTCTTCTGTCAGCAAGTTCAGCAGAGCTGCAACTCTTCCAGTGCCAGCCCTGACACCAGCGAGGAGCCCTGCCCCACTGACATGGTGAAGATGACCAAGTCTAAGACATTCCAGGCTTACCTGCCATCTTGCCACCGCACCTACAGCTGCATCCACTGCCGGGCACATCTGGCCAACCACGACGAGCTCATCTCAAAGGTACAACGGCTTCTTTAATTCACTATTCGTCCAGTCCTTCCCTGAAGCCACCAAACAGCTTTTCAGATGACATTCAATTGGTCCATCTATATTTATACACATTAAAAAGGCTACATGCTGCTTTGCAGTTTTCCCACCAGCCATATTTATACATAAATGTAGAAGATACTTGAAATACACTGTGAGTGTAGACCCATTCAGTAATGTTAAAAAAATATATTATCACAGAAAAATTGATTCATTTCAGTATAATTGCTGCTGTGTTTTGCTGAGTTCCACTTTAGTGAACTTTGAGATGGAAATTTGACCAACATCAAACTGTCTTGACAGCAGTCAATGGTACAAACACATCTTCTGAACACACTGTGTGAACTTCCTGTCTTGCTGACACTTGGACTGTAGTTTTGCTAACCAACAGCTGACTTGACAGTTGCGACCGGCACTAGCATGGAGCATTTATCTCACCAGCTACAGTACAATAGTTTGAAAAACTAGTGCCACAAATCACTACATATTCCAACTCCTATCAACTTATCTGCAAGAATGCATGGGTGGACTTCACTTTTTACACATGAAGCAGACATCGGTGTCCACCAACTCTCTATAATATCTGGCTCTTTAGCTGCTAAATGCTCCACTATGTTCACCAGCTAACTTTGTGTTTTTGCCATTTGGTGATGTGTAGGGCACAATGGTCTTTGTCAGAGCTTGTTTGTAAGAAATAGCTGCCTGGTGCTGCTGGAAACAAGTTTGATGAGCCGGATGAGCTGGTCTTTAATTATTAAAATCAAACACCAATAAATTGACAGACTAATCTGGATATCGAAATGGCTGTCTTGGTCTCTGATGATCTTTTGGATGGCATTATGAGCCATGATGCTAAATCTTGTCCTGGTAATATTTTAAAAGAGTAAATCCGTGCTTCGCTAAACTGTGAACTCTCACTCAGCTGGGACTCGGCAGTGATTGAGTGTTGTCCTGTGGTATTAGTTATGACTAATGACACTTGGGTTTGACAGCAGTGTAATTTTATTTGATGCTCACCTGCCTTATTGCATCTCCAAAGCTTGTGTACCTGTCTGCTCTTGCATCTGTACTTTATTTCTGCCGATAAATTCTCAGAGTCTTAGATGACAGCCACTGCTGGCATTATTATTGAAGTCGTTTCTGTGAAGCGCAAAAGAGCCGGTCAGTCTTTTAAAGTGTCAAAACTGCCTCGGCTATTTTTGTGTCTGTTGCTGTTTTTGAGTAAATTTTTTTTAAAAAAGGGCTGAATTGAAAGCACTGCGGTGGCTCACTGAGATGTCAGAGGCTTGCTTACAAACTGTGAGATGGAGGAGAAAAAAGACTGCACTGTTGAATTTGGAGGTCAAAGGTGTAAGATAGAGATACATATAACTTCTTGACTTGAAATTCATCCAAATCTTTCAAAACATTAAGAGGTTGTTCACAAATGAGTTGACTGGACTGGACTTCATCATCATTATTTGCACCAATAATCCACTCCTGCTGAGCATAAACATTTTAAAGTCTGGGAGTCGGGGCACTTCTGATTTCATAGAAATAAGACACGTCAGTTGTTTAATGCAGTGTTTCTGTCAGACTGTTGTCAGAGAGATTCTGTCAGAAAGTGTCTGGCAGTGCTGGTATGAATTTAAAGAAGTTCTTCTCCAGCTAATATAGCAGGAACATGTCTTAAAGGTGTACTGGAAAAGATTTTCAAAGGGCAAATTTGAAATACGATACTGAGCAAACCTCGACATGGATCTCTAAGTATTTTAAAACATAATGCTCCATGTCCTATCAGTCTCAAGACTTGTTGTAGCCCTGAGTACATTTTCATCATCCTGTATCGTCCTGTAAACGAGCATTAATTCATTTTATTTTGCAGATATTTCAGAAATTAAATTAAAGCCTGTGCAAAAATGCAATGAAAACACAAATGATGAGTACATTGAATTTTAGGGTATTTTTGGTCCAGTTTAGAGTTACGTTTGTAGACCTCAATAAGGGCTGCAGTCACATTCGCCTTTATGATAGGGAAAAAAGAGTTGGAGTCCTTGCTATCAGATTTGCTAAATCCAAATATTCCTTGTTAGTCTAACTTATAACTACAACATATACATTTTTGCTGAGTTGATACACTTGTGTGTTTTTGGGCCTACAGAGCAGCAGTAGAGTCAAACTCAAGCGGAGCCAGTTGCATGCATGCCTGAGACTGACTTCCTGTTTGTTCTCTACACACATGAATGGTAAAAAGAAATAACAGAGAATTTGATAATACTGCTTTTATAGAATTTCCAAATTGGACTAAACAGATGAAATAAGTCATTTTACACCGTTTTACAGCAGCTCCTTTTCTATTGATTGTGTATGAGAGGAAAGATGCTTTTTGTGTAACATGATGCTCCCGGAAGTTGCAATTCCGTGTGTGGCTACAATTCCAAACTCGCCTCATAGCCAATCACAGTTTTTGGGGGCTTGCTGGTCACACTTTCAGGTCCCACATGGAGGAAACCAGTGTCATTTCATACAGTATATCTCTGTCTGAAAAGCCTTCAATGAGATTTCAGTGGCTGCTCTCAGAGAGATTGAGTTGCTGGTGTAGCACATTTTAACTGGGTGCAGAATAGCAGTTCTTTCACTTTACAGTCTGATTCACATCCTTTTGTTTGCAAAAAGGAAGTTCATTGGTTTGAGACAATAATAGTAGCTTTAGGTGCTTTATAAGAGAAAGAAAATTAAAGCTGCTCCTTGTTGTCAGAAGATGAAATAAAACTCTGAACTTCACTGAATGAATTCCACTTTTTAACATTGAGTCCAACTTTGACTGGTCCAGTATGCAACTTATACAAGTGTGTTGTAGAGACGCATACACTGAGAATGGACTTCATAGTGAAAAAGAAGACATGTCGTGTCCAGCAGGAAAACTTTGTAAATTTGCATATTCATTAATTCTGGGATTTTAGATGCATTTTCAAGGATATTATTTGGAAATGATATTGTGTCCCTTTTGTGGAGTCCCATAAAATATGTGAAGGATCATCATCATCTAACATCACACAGTTCCTTCAGTATGAAGCTGTTGTGGAGCTCTTATCAAATGTCGACACTACCAGTTTGGGCCTGAAAAGGTCCAAAAACAATTATTGATAGGTCTGTGGCCACCGGCCCATAAATCCTCCCACATCATATTAATAAATTCTAGCAGAGACAAAAACAAACAAAACAACACAGTAGGATGCCCACGGAGAGTGACCAATCTGAACCTGAGCTTGGAGCGAACTGGACTCTGTTACATCCACTGGTGTCTTTCCCTCTGAAGGATAGCAGTATCAATTAGTTACAGGATTTCTAGGTATTGAAGTCTGCATTGTCCAAACAGTTGCTGACACTTGGAGTCACGAAACGTGCAAGCTGCCAAAGTGCTGCTTTAATGTTGACCTTAAATCAACAGTTGGTGAGCAAAGACTGAGTAAAGTTTATCAAGTGTCAGATGAACCAGAGTTGCAGCGACAGAAGCAATGACCTTTATGTGTTTATAATAAGATGGTGACAGTGTGCTCCCTGTGCGCTGCACTCTCACCACGCACTAAGCTGGTTATTCAAATGGCAAACATGATCAATCTGCGCACTCGCCATCTCTGTGTCGAAATCCATTTGCCTCCTGCGGTTCGGAGACATGGAAGCTCGTAGCTTGTTAGTGCAGGCAGCAAGAAGAGCTCAGTAAACAGCTCAACCGCCGTATCAGATATGTGAATTTATTGTCACACAGGAAAGACTCAGATAAGGCAGAATGAGGTGTCATATGATTAAAGTTTTGGATGCAGGTTTTATTGGCTTCTGTGTGGGAAATTAAATTGTTGCTGACTGGATGCAGAAAAGAAAAATGGAAAATGAATGCGAGTTTAGAAAGTAAGAACAAGAATAATGCAGAGAAAAATGATTAATGAGAACTGTGTGTTTATTTGTTATACCCAATAATATAATATTACACTTTTTCCTCAAAGAAAGCTGAGCCACAGAAGAAACAGCTTAGAAAGAAACATTAGATTTAAAGCCGTCAAGTGTCAGACAATTTGGGCTGTTATTTTTTTCACTTTCCTGTTTGATTCACATCCTCTTGTTTGTAATCAGGAAGTTCAGTGGTCTGAGACTGCACATTTAACATGGAAAAAAACACTAGTCATAACACTGAAACTTAATTTGTACAACACAGCTCATATAGTTACAAAAAAGAAGAATTTCTAACTTGAAGAATGCACAGCCAGATGCAAACCAGCTGGCATTTTTGTTGAAATATGCACGTAGCAATTAATCAAATCTTCTGTTGGTCGACAACCATTTATAATTTACTAACAATTTCAGCTGAGAATGACAGAAAAAGTACAGCTTTGAAGACTTTTGAGTTAGCTGAACAGATGTGTTGAGTGTTTTTAAAAATACTCTGGTTGCCTCATTGATATTCGTGTTAGTGTTATTGCACAGTTCAGTAGCAATGCAGGAAAAAATCCGACAATAACCACACAACGTTCCTCTAATTCATTAATCAATGGCCACTCATTTATAAAAACAGAAATATATTTTCAGTATCAGTCTTGATACAAAACCCACTATGAAACACAAAAGGGATGAAGGCAGTGAATTGTTGATTGCTGTTTTATTCTTCTGAAACCAGAGCTCTTATCAGTGCAGGTTGGCATGTTTTGAAGTTCAACACATCACTTTCACTTTCTTGTGATTCCACGTGGCTTGGATTGAATAGAGGAGGAATAGGGGAATTGCTTCTACAAATTGAGTAGAATACAAAGTATGGAGAAGATTAAACGGTGTGCTAATGTGCATTGCACATTCAGGCACACTGAATTGTTGGCTGTGATACAGCAGAGTGAAGTCCATTCACAATCTACAATTAAGACTGTGCCAAAGCTCCAACTACAGGTCAGCTCTTAAAGTGTCTGCTTGTAAATTAGGTTTTTGTGAGCGAGTCAGCTGGGATA